CACAATAATACACTTATACACTGCCGTAAGATATAACAACATATATCCATTCTACACTGCCACATTAAATACTCACATATAAAAAATCACACTACCCACTACACGGTTACAAGTGAACAACCACACTGCCCAAAACAGTCAAATTTTTGGCAGTGCGTAATAAATATCTGTTGTTTAATTAAAGGACAAAATTGGACTCACAGGTACGAAACATATAGCACTGCTATTTAGAGTATTTTAAAGCTCTAAAAGTGCTATTTTGGTTTTTCTCCCTTTGAATTACTACCTTCGTCCCTGAGTATTTGTCTAGTTTTGACATTTTTCCGTCAATTATTTTTAACCTTTATTTAATATTAAATAAAATAAATATTGTATATTAATTAGATAAAATAATATTTTGAAAATATTTCATATAATAAATCTAATAAAATTATTTTTGTACCAATATCTAATACTATTTCTATTTAATTTGAGGTCAAATTTATCAATTTTAACTAAAAAAGTCAAAAATGAACAAATACTCAAAGACGGAGGGAGTAGCAAGTTTTGCGTTTGGTCCCTTCAAAATATTTTTTAATTAAATTGTCTCTATAAGATTATTATTATTTTTGCAAATAGTCTTCCCCTAATTTATCTACATATTTTGATCCTTGTAAAATTTATAAATATTTTTTTTAGTTTTTCTAAAGGTTTTTTGGGTGCATTCTTCCTCTCTTTTAAAATAATTACTACTTTATACAAAATTAACTAATTATTTTTAGTCAAGATAGACTTGAATACAATGTCAAAGTTTATGAAATACTTTTTGAAACTTAATTGAATAACTACGCTACATAAAAGTTCTTTAATTTTTTTCTAAAGTAATACTTTTTAATAATTTTCTTTAGCTAAATTAATAATTACCCTCAAACTAATTAAAAAATAATTCGAGATTGTGAGGATAAGCATTTTGCTAAAGATCATGAATTTGACAAATTATACTAAAGGTACACTAAAAAGAAATCTGGTATTAATTTATCAAAAGATTTTTTTTACTAAAAATTAAAGTATCAATTTAGAAATTTTTTAAATGAATTTGTAAAAGTGCATTTATTTTAATAAATATTTCAGTGACTTTGACCTTGTAATTAAGTACATATTAAATTAAACAATAAGAATAAGATAATGGTGAACGGAGTATTTTATAATTTAAAAATAGAATTGAATGAACAAAAAGAAATTTCAAGAGACTAAAAATGAAATTAATAAATTTTACAAGGATAAAATAAATATTTAAATTAAGGGAGAACTATTTGTAAAAGTAATAATTTTATAGGGACAACTTAATTAAAAATTATTTTGGAAGGACCAAAAATAAAACTCATTAATTTTACAGGAACCAAAAACATAATTTAACTTTAGTACACAGTATTAAAGTTTATAATTTGATTTCAAGGAGTTTAGAAACATTGTCTAAAAATAAAAATTACAAAGTAATGGATTAATAAGATTTAAATAAAAATAGAAATCACTCTAAATAAGACAAAAACATACTTTCCGTTCCATTAAACCATTACCATTTTGACTTTGATTCTTTGAACCAAAATAAGGAAAGTATATTTTTGGTTAACTTTCCCATTTTGCCTCTGATGTCATGAGTAAAAATAAGATGTGATAGTTTGGTTATTAGTGAAAAAGTATGATGTGATAGGTAGAGTATGAAAAAATAGGGGTAAAAGTGGTTTTTTATTAGAAAGTTGAAGTGTTTTAGAGAATTGGAAAAAAATGAAAGAGGAAGGGTTTAATAAAACGGAGGGAGTAGAAAAAAGTACCAAAATAGGAGTTCTATATTTTTTTCTAGAAATAGGACTTCGCATTGTGGTATTGGGGTTGTAATGTGGTACATGTACACATTACTATATTTTTTGGTAATGTAAATGACCATGTTTGATAATGTAAATGTATTTTAATTCTCATTTCGGAAATAAAAACATGGTAATCTTATTTTGATATATTTTTGATAGTTTACTCCTACTTTAATCTTTTTACCAAACAAAAAGAAAGGTTTACTTTGTGAACAGTCTGTTTTGCAAACGGAATATCATATGTGTCCCAACACCGTAAATTCGTAATGTCAAACGAGGCTTGTGTCAACGGAACCGACCACCCTTTTCTTTCTTCAATCTTTTTAGGGTATTTCCGTTTATTGGGAAATTACAAAATCTAGATTGATTTTTTGCTTTTTATAACTTTAAGAAATTTAATTTTGAAAAACAAAAAATAATAAAAAAATAATAATCACGTGAGGATTGTAGAGTGTGTGCAGTGGCCCCATGCATGCACGATGCACCTCCCCTTCCCGTTGGGTACACGTACCCCATTCTTTTAGGTCTCAATGCATAGCTGGAGCGTTCAGGCTAGTATACAGAGAACTACCTCTAGGCCTGAGTCACTGCCTCACAGGCGTTGGACCATGGGGGATAGATAGTAATTAAAAAAAAAAAAAGCCCCATCCCTGGGATCCTTCGGAACTTGTTAGACGTTTGGGAAAATAATATGGAGAAGGAACTACACTGCGGACCAGAGTTCGATAGAGTATAATGAATCACGTAAATACGCTTTTAAATCAAAGTTATTTCGAAATATACGAAATACTTCAATCGGATAATTAAGACGTTAATTAAGAACAAACCTTTTTTTAATCATACTCCCAACCATTACATTTTTCAAAAGTTATATAAACTTTTTTAAATGTTTAAAAGAAAATACTTTGTATGAATTTTTACACGATTTTCTCTTTTTATTCCATTTTAAAAATATAGATTTATATGAAATATAATACATTTGCATCATTATTTTGTATCTACTATTAAAAATACTCCCTCCGTTCTAAAATTAACTTCTCATTTGACTTTTCACGGTTTCCAATGCGACACTTTGACCATCAATATCTCAATTTTTATATAAATATATTTTATAAAAATTATATATTTCAAAACTATATTCCAAAATGAATCTATTTCTAATAAATTTATAGGAAAATTCAATGTATTTTTTCCTTAATCTACGGTCAAAGTTTAAAAAGTTTGACTGCAAAAGTCAAACTGGAAAATTAATTTTAGGACGGAGGGAGTATTATATTTAGTAGTTATAAATTACGGAGTATATATATGTATATGCGCATATTTATTAGTATATCACCATATTTTCTTTTTATAACCTTTCAAAAAATAATTATATAAAGTACCGTATCTAATAGTCTAACTAGTATAAACTATTATATATATATATATATATATATATATATATATATATATATATATATATATATACACATTTTAAAGCATAGGAATTATTGTTAAAATATAATTTTTTTTTTCAAAAAAAATATCGTATCTAATAATAGTCTAGCTACAATAAAATATCATATCCAAATTTCTAAAACATACTTATAATGCATGTCATATTATTATTGAAAAATTAAAATATATACAATTAAATTTTAATTCATATAATGTTTACATATTAGTTGAACTTCTAAAAAATATACAAAATGTTAATATAATTCTTAAATAGTCATACATATATATGTGTTCACTATTTTATTTGTTATTTTTTCTTGGAGTTCATTTTTTTAAGAAAATAATAGAATAAAATATATTTTCTTTTTTTTTATTTTCATACATGTATTGTGTTTCATACACAAAGATGGCAAAATAAAATAAAAAATTCAAACTTTTCCTTAAAAACTTAAAGTACAATTTTCTATCAAAATTATAAATTTAATTAGTCAAAGTGTAAAATAATACTACCTCCGTTTCTTAAAACTCTTCCTCTTTCATTTTTTTTGTTTTTCTTAAAACACTTCCCCTTTCTATTAAAAAACCACTTTTACCCCTACTTTTTCATACCCTACCTATCACATCATACTTTTTCACTAACAACTAAACTATCACATCAATGGCAAAATTGGAAAGTCAACTACAATTTAACACTTCCTTATTTTTCCCCAAAGTCAAAAGAGGAACCGTTTTGAGAAACGGAGGGAGTAAGAGTTATAGAGGAAATTAATGAATACATCATTCCCTTGCATACCATAATATGTCCAAAAATGAAATGTCTAACAAAGTTATTTAGGAAGAGTTAATGTATTATCTTTCATATGTACATGCGTGTATAATATTTATGTATTCCATCAATAGACATTGTGATTGAACAACTTTTAGAGTTATTCTCTTATTTATTTAATGTAAGTTTTATTTTTTAAAGTAAATTCTATAATTGGTCCTTTATAACAGGGGGGATTTCCCTATTTAGTCCTCTATTATCAAATATTACCCAAATGGTCTTTCTTTTATGGGTACCTTTCCACAAATAGTCCTTTTTTGATCTTCTATCATGTTCGTGTTAATTTGAAGGCTAAAAGTGTAATTTCACAATGATAATATATCTTTTTTGTCATACACAACTCCAAAGGCTGTTCCGTTTGCGTCGTTTGTGAATTACAGTCGCTTTTTACGACAACTATAGTCTACAAATGTGATCTTTCGTCAGAATCCTAGCCCACAATCATAGTCATTATTTTTGTGTTATCCGCTTAACCAATATCAGAACACGTCACTAGACATAATGTTGACGTCAAATTATACTTTTAGCCTTTAAATTAACACCAACACGGCAGAAGATCAAAAAAGGACCATTTGTAGAAAGGTACCCTTAAAAAAAGGATTACGGAGGTAATATTTGATAATAGAGGATTAAATATGGAAACCCCCTGTTATAAAGGACTAATTATGGAATTTACTCAATTTTTTAATATAATACGGAGTAACAATTTTACAGCTATATTTATAAAAAAAAGTATGCGAGCCCATGCGAAGCACGTGGTAAAAACTAGTATCTTATAAGATAAAATAAACTGTGAATGAAACATGATCTTATACAGATGAGTTAAATTTTTTTATAACACCAAAAGAAAGTGATATGTCAATATATATTTTCATATTAACATAGTACGAACTCTTATTTCGAGAATAATATAAAATAATTATAAAGTATACGCAAAAAAAATGAATACTCTACAAAATTAAAAACACCTAATATAGCATTTCCAATTTAATTTAATTAAAATTTAAAAAATAAACCCACAAGACAAGCTAAGTAAATAATAAAACTTAATATCTATACTTTATTTATAAAGAGGTGAAATTCCCATTCAGTTTTCACGCCTAACATTCTTCTATCACATAAGGTATGTGTTCAACTTGAATGGTAATAATTAAATGAAATAGTGATGTTTAAAAGGTAATTAGCATTATTAAATTAAGCTCCACCGTGATTATAAATTAATAATGCTCCACCATGTGTAATTAGTATTATTACTTTCCATTATTACTATTAGTATTATTTAATAGTAAGGTAATTCCATACTTTAGAGTTTAGAATTAATAATACCGTGTTATAAAAGGTATACTAATTATGAATTGAATAGGTAATTGCTAAACATGGTAAGGTAATACCGTGTTGTAATGGGAAAGGGATTTGGCTCTTAAATACACGGTAATGATTTGTTATACACAATAGATTAAAAGGTAATTAAACTTTCCATTATTTTCTATACTTTATTTAAAAAGAGGGGAATTCTTTAACCAGTTTTCCTGCCCATTGATGTGTTGACTTTTTATTATATATGGAGATGTTTAGATATATTTTAGGGAAGAACTTTTTATATGAAATTTAATAAATAAATAAACATAAATATTATTATTTATCACGGTCAAAATTTTATGGGTGGTCTAGATTTATTTTAGAAAAATTTGTCATATATGGGCTTTAATAAATAAATATAAATATTTTTTATTAATCATTTTCAAAATTTCTAGGGTTGGTCTAGATTTATTTTAGGAAATTTTTTTTATATATGGACTTTAATAAAGACATGTTAGAACTTTTTATTATATATGGAAAACTCTAAATTTATTTTAAGAAAATTTGTTATATGTGGACTTTATAATTTAATTAATAAATAAATATAAATATTATTATTAATCACGGTCGAAATTTATAGGCGTGGTCTAGATTTATTTTAGGAAGGTTTATTATATATGGGCTTTAATAAATAAATATAAATATTTTATTAGTCACGGTCAAAGTTTCTTGAGATGGTTAGATTTATTTTAGGAAAATTTGTTATATACGAACTTTAATAAATAGGTTAATAAATTTAAATATTTTTATTAATCATGGTCATAGGTTCTAGGAGGGAAATGCATAATATCATTTGTATTTTTATTTTTCATTAGATACATATGCTTTTTATTATATATGGAGAGGTCTAGGTTTATCTTAGGAAAATTTGTTATATATGGATTTTTTATTATATAAAGAGCTTGTTATATATGGAGTCGCCATCATTATTTAATTGCAACATGTGGTCTAGATTTTTATATTAGGAAAATTTGTTGGATGTATACTTTAATAAAAAAAATAAATAAATACAAATATTTTCATTTATCACAATCAAATTTTCTAGGGGTGGTCAATATTTATTTTAAGAAACTTTGTTGTATATAGACTTTAATAAATAAATATATATAAATATTATTATTAATCACGGTCAAATTAAAGTTTCTAGAGGTGGTCTAGATTTTTTTAGTAAAATTTGTTGTATATGGACTTTAATGAATAAATAAATTAAAATATTTTTTCTTAATCATGGTCAATGTTTCTTGAGGTGGTCTAGATTTATTTTAGTATACATATTTATGAAAAGAAATAAATCAACTAATGAAATAAATATTTTAGTATAAAAAGATTCATCTAAAATGGAAAGAAATAGATATTCAAATATTTTAGTATATATTTTTATAAGTAATTTAGTAAATAGCCCTACAATAGCATTTATTTTTGGAAAATATTAAGAAATAAATATTCAAAATAGTTAATTTTAACATAACTGTAAATAAATCAATGGGTAAAATTAAGTATTTTAGTATAAAAAAACCATCTAAGAATGGCAAGAACAAAAATTTAGCATAGTATATTTTAGTATAAATTTTAGTGTAAATGGAAATAAATCATAGGATGAAATATATATTTTATTATAAAGACACTCATCTAAAAATGGAAAGAAATAAATATTCAACATAATATATTTTAGTACATATTTTTAAATGGAAATAAATCAATTGATGAAATAAACTAAAATGAAATATAAAAAAACATTTATATGTAAATGGTAAGAATTAAAATAGCATTGAAGAACGATTGTTTTCTACGGAGAAACATAATAAGATTAAATAATGGGCAATATCTCATCCGTTTAAAAATTTAAACCAATTCAAAACATGTTCAATAAATAAAAAATAACTTTCACATTTATTATGAGATTGTAAAATAAATGTAATTTTGTTCAATATTAGTATTACATATTCCACTGTGATAGAATAAAAATTTTATATTCAATCCTTTAAAATACAGAACGTTATATTCTATTATATACTAATTTCTATTCTTCAATAATGATCTAAATATAATTTAATAATATAAATACGAGCCGTGCAACGCACGGGTGTGATACTAGTTAATCATTTAACTTACAAATATGTTGTGAGATTACTTACTTAAATTAATCAATTACAATGATTTATAAATGTAAATTCATATATATGGATCAAAATCAATATAGTACCCTTAAATAGTATAGTACCCTTAAATAGTAATACACCGGAAATCCTCTCATTAATACAGTTCATATCCTTTAAATAAATCATGGAAATTAAACAATTTTTAAATATTCAAAAAAAACCATAATAAATAAACCAGAATAAAACTTTAAATAGTAATAGACTGTTTAATGCATTATTCATGGATTTTACTTTCTTTTTTTGATTACCTAAATTGCTCACTTTTTTATGCATGTTTATGGAAACTCCTATATACTAAGCAATACAACTTCAAGACCACTTGATTACTTACTTAAATTAATCAATTACAAAGATTTATGAATGGAAATTCATATATATGGATCAAAATCAATATAGTACCGTTAAATATTAGTAGACCGAAAATCCTCTCATTAATACAATTAATATTCTTCAAATTAATCATACATATTAAACAATTTTTAAATATTCAAAAAAAAACCATAATAAATAAACCAGAATAAAACTTTAAATAGTAATAGACCGTTTATTGCATTAATCATGGATCTTATTTTTTGATTACCTAATTTGCTCACTTTTATACGCATGTTTATGGAAACTCTTATATATTAAACAATAGAACTTCAAGTCCACTTGATTACTTACTTGAATTAATCAATTACAAAGATTTATGAATGGAAATTCATATATTTGGATCAAAATCAATATAGTACCGTTAAATAGTAGTAGACCGAATTCCTCTCATTAATACAATTAATATCCTTCAAATTAATCATACATATTAAAAAATTTTAAAAGTGAAATATGCACCGAATACGACTAAAACATAAGTCATTTCCCAATGTAGGACTTAAACTTTTTTATTCCTTAAATAGGACTTAATAATGTCTAGTGAGAAGAATAATGCTCAAGTGATTCTAGACATTTAGTTGAATAATGACTAATAGATAATGACCAATGGTCCTACATTAGGAAATAAAAACATATGGTCCTATATTGATGATGGACAATAAATCCACCAAATGATCCGATTCACGAAGCGGATCGTAAGAACAAAATTAAGAACGAGAATTCGAGAATTGGGTATGTATTATTAGCTTGATCCAGCTTGAATTTCCTCCTTTTGGGTCTCATCTATTTATACATGAGCTATATGCACTTAAGGTAACGCTTAATCGATGGAGTCTATCCCGTTAAGGGCGCGATCCCCTTTTTCCGGCTCTGTAACGGCCAATTTGCTCCGTCTCCTTCTCCGGACCGGCTCTGCCAGCTACGTTTGGTCTAAAGTCAACCGGGCCTGGCTCCATGGGCCGGCCCAGACCTGAGTATTCTCCGAGTGTCTGACCCGAAGTAGTGTAAATGGTTCAGTTGGGCCGCCCACTGGGTATCGGCCCATCATAAGCCCCCCAACTCCTCATTCTTCAGCTGGGCCAAGTGGAAGAATGGGGAGTTTGCAAAGTCCACGTGGGCGCTCCAGCGGGAATCCGGGTCGTTCCTTGGGTTCCGCGTGACGTCTGGGCACGATCTCCACAAATAGGTAATCATGGCCCGCCGATTCGCCTCCCTGCTGTCAGTTAAAAAACCGCCGCTAGACGCCATTTTTTCCCTTCGCCTTCTTCACCATCATCCGTCTGCAATTCCGCTGCTTCCCAACCCGTTCTTCTTTCTTTCCAGGTCAGTTCCTTTTCTCGCTGCCATGATTGTTTCAGATTCCGATTCGGCTACCCCATCGTCCAATTCTCGCCAAGCCGATCAATCGGCCTCTGGCCGTAACCCCGGCCGCACTCCATCACCCCAGCCGTCACCGTCGGCCGTTCCTGGCCACAAACGGCGCCGATTGAGGAAGCAATTCCCTTCCTCAACTCCGGTGGATGAGGGGTCGAGGGTTGGATTGGACGAGAACATCATGGCGCTGTGCCATTGTCAAATCACCGACCGGGGGTTCGCCGATGCTACTGACATGGTTGGCCCCTCCATTGAGGTCATGAGACCTACCAGTACTCAAACTGCTCTAGACGCACCCTCGGGGTTCTTCACGGTCCATCTGGCGTCTTTGAAGAAGGGGCTGCGCTTTCCACTCCACCCGTTGTTGGTCGAATACCTCAACGAGGTGGACCTTCTTCCGT